CAGTGCGAACAGGCAGCCCCGTGGTGGTGAGAGTGCGAACAGGCAGCCCCGAGGGGGGTGAGAGTGCGAACAGGCAGCCCCGAGGGGGTGAGAGTGCGAACAGGCAGCCCCGAGGGGGTGGTGATGGTAAGCGGGTGGTGAGGGGGAGGGGGGAGGTCAAGCCCTTGTGAGGAGTGAGAGCCCAGCATGGCCAGGCACTTAGGGACTGTGATGTTGAACTATTAACTGTGCTTCTTGGTTTTTCTACACTTTAGTAAGAAGGACTATAATGTTTGACTTCTTAACTTGCTCTCTTTACTTTTCTGCTCTGTACTAAGATTCTGTGCCCAGGTTCATTTGTACCTAAGATGGTGCCGTAAGTGGTAGCTTGTAAATTTTTCACTGTACTCATGTGAGTGAGTGCATGTGACAATAAAAGCTAATTCTAATTCTAATTCTAGTCCCACGTTCCCTGCTCTTTGCTCACTTCTGTCTTTCTTTGCTGTGATGATCCATTCAGGATCTGATTCAGGCTTTGGGAAATTACCAGCAGGATTACACAATTGTTTGTCTGTTCTGTGAACTCCGGTGTGCTTCAACTCTCCCGCCTATTGGCCAGTGGAACCAGTGTTAGCCTCGAGGAAATAAAGAGCCCATTGATAGGCTGCCCCGTTAAGCCATTCCCCTTCGTCCAGGACAGGGCTGTCAAAGTCTCTCACCTGGGAAGCACAGCTCCGGCAGGCCACACAGCTCAATTCCCCTCGGAACGCTGAGGTGCTCCTTAAAATGTTCCACATTTCCAAAGAGTTGGCCCGAAGAGAACGTTGGTACTGTGATCTCCTCTGGCTTTTGCAGTGGGCTCTGCAAGTGGGTGTGAGCATTTGTCTGAGGCCCAGTGAATGGTGGTGCGTGAATGGACAAAACTTCTGGAATGACATCTGTAGTATCAAAGAAATTGTTGTGCATGTCCTGCACAAGACATTGCACATCATTAAGGAGCAGCAAGCAAACTGTGTGACATAGTACAGCACCTCAAAACCACTTCTCCACTGTTCACTCAATTTATTGACTAGTTAATGACTGGGTAGATATAAAAGGGGGGAAACAGGTTGGGCTTGTGTATAGAAGGAGCTGTAGGGTCAAATTGCTAACAAACTCTATTCTCGAAGAAAGGGGTCTTAAAAAGGATCTTACAGGGTGATGTCCCCACCTCTCGGCCAGGTGGTCAAGGGTCAATCCCACCTCAAGACAGGATGACCATGGAGATGTATCATAACACATCCAAACAAATAGGTTAAAAGAAAGGGTCTCATGACAGGCTTGGAAACAAATGGCCAAAAGCAGAAGTTGCTGGAAAAGCTCAGCAGGTCTGGCAGTATCTGTGAAGGAAAAAACAGAGTTAATGTTTCGGGTCCGGTGACCCTTCCTCAGGTCACTTGACCCGAAACGTTAACCCTGATTTCTCTCCACGGAAGGTGCCAAACCTGCTGAGCTTTTCCAGCAATTTCTGTTTTGGTTTCTGATTTACAGCATCCGCAGTTCTTTCAGCTTTTATTCTGGATTTTAAAAAAAAAATGCTCATGGGTTCTGGCTGGGCCAGGAGTTATTGATTCCCCCTTACTGCCCAAAGAATCAATTGCATCGCTGTGGGTCTGGAGTCACATGTAGGCCTGAATAGGTAAGAATGGCAGTTTCCTTCACTAAAGGGTATTACTGAAACAGGTGCGTTTTCACAATGATGAACAATGGTTACATGGTCACCATGTTGAATTCAAACCTCGTCCTTTATCATGGTGGGATTTTAACCCATGTCCCCAGAAATTGATGCCTTGGCCAGGTACCTGACCATGACAGGGTGAACCCTATTGGGCAGCATTCCCTGTGTGGAGGTTAGGAGAGGATGAGATCAGGCACTGACTTCCCCTGCATTCTGGTTGGGCTGTGAACTGATGGCCAGCACCCACAGGACATGCTCCCAGTTACAAAGATCGTCCTAAAGGTGGAGAGAGACAGGACTCCAGGTCTGCACTACAGCTGGGATGGCTGTTACCTGGACAACGGGGAAGCAGGACTGAGGAGGTAAAAGCCAAATACTGTGGATGCTGGAAATCTGAAATCGGAATAGAGAGTGCTGGAGAAACTCAGCAGTGTCGGTGGGAAGAGAGAAACAGAGTGAAGTGAATCTTCTGGAGGAAGGTGTTTGAGCGCAATCAGAGCAGTATATTGCAGTCAGAGTAAATGAGAAGGATGGAGTCCTGTCACAGCTGTTGGGTGTGTAACTCTGGGAATGTACCTGGATCACTCGCCGCAGGATTTTGGGAGGAATCCCAATAATGAGGCACATCTCCAGCAACCTGTGACTCTGCAAGCCGACTTCTGCATCACCTGCGACCGACTCACTTCCTTTGTTCATTGTCCTGAAGGTAAGGCCAGCAGCTGGAGGGGAAACAGAACAAAAATCACCAGCAACACTTCACAACGATTCCAGCCGTTTCTTGAATTCGTGTTCTTTCTCTCAGGACCAAAAGCAATATTTACATTTATGTACAGCCTAAAGGAGAAGAGAGAGGGGGACAGAGTCATTTGAGGAGTAGATTAGCTTGGGGTGCTGACTTCAGTCCAATACATTTCCATGTCACTTCCACCATTCTCCCTCCATTTCTGTCTTTAGAATCATAGAATCCCTACAGAGCAGAATCCCTACATTCAGCCTATGGAGTCCACGGTGACCCTCTAAAGAACATGTCACCCAGAGCCAGCCCCCAACTCTACCCCATAACCTCATATTTCCCGTGGCTAATCCACTCAACCTGCACATCCTCGGACACTATGGGCCAATTTCCCATGGCTAATCCACTCAACCTGCACATCTTTGGACTGTGGGAGGAAACCAGAGCACCCAGGGGAAACCCACACAGAAACAGGGAGAATGTGCAAACTCCACACAGACACAGTCACCCTGAAATCGAACCTGGTTCCCTGGTGCTGTGAGGTAGCAGTGCTAACCACTGAGCCACCTAACTATCCGATCAAGTTCTTTTACAAGATTAAAGTCTTCGAATTTGATCGCCTCTTGTAGCCCTCATGAACTGTTTCCTTTAACCCTTTCTTGCAGCCAGGTGAGTGTGTGTAATGGGGAAACAACAACCAGACTGAGCTACTCAAAGTTGTCAGTTTTAGGAAGGAAATCCCTGAGCTGAGGATCCAGGCAGTTGAAGGCACGGCTACTATTGGAGAATACAGGGCTATGGGAGGAGGTTACAGAGATAGACAGATGGTGAAGATAATGGAGGGAAAAAAAAACCCGAAGGACTGCAGAAGCTGGAAATCAGAAACACAAACAGAAATTGCTGGGAAATCAGAGCTGGCTTGGGAGCACCTGTGGAGAGAAATCAGAGTTAGCGTTTCAGGTCCAGTGACCCTTCCTCAGAACTGGGACATAAAGGAGGGATTGATTGCAAGAACAAATTGTGGGAGTGCTGATCTGCGAGCTAATGTGGGCACAGGACACAGTGTAAGTGAGAATATCGTTGCGATGTCAAAATCCTGGAATTCCCTCCCTAAGGGCATTGTGGGTCAATCTACCGCACATGGACTGCAGCGGTTCCAGAAGGCAGCTCACCCCCATCTTCTCAAGGGGCAACTAGGGATGGGTAATAAATGCTGGGCCCAGCCAGTGATGGCCATGTCTCATGAATTAATAAAACTAAAGATATAACTTTGAGATTTTGATGAGTTCAGTTTAATAGAATCTTCAAGGAGGAAGCTGTTCAAGAAGTTTTGGAATGACCAAGAGGCTGGATGTTGGTTTGAGGATGATGCCTACGGAGCACGATCAGTTCTTGCCATGGGTTACTGAACAGACCAATCTTGACCCAGATCTTGGGTCACGAGGAGCAGGATGTCCCATGATGGGATTTGCTTCCCCTCTCTGCTGTCACTCTGCCTCATCATTAAGGTATTCGGACCCAAAGTTTTTCAGTTTGATGGACAAGTTGCTGCTGTTTTGAACAACTGGGAGTGAGTTCCTCCTCTCATGAATGTCGATGCTGCCTCGCTTCAAGGACAGCTTCAGAGTATCTTTGAAGAAGAAAGGGTACATGACAAAGGCAGAGATGAAGGTTTTAGATGAGATGGGTTGTGGGGATTGTGGGTGAGAGGTGGAAGTGGGTGATATCATGGAGATGGAAGTAGGAGGTCACCATGATGGAGACAGTAGGCTCTGAAACTTAGCTCAGCACAGGAAGCTGAAGAGATGGATGCATCCTGTTGACAGGAGGGGAGATGGATTTGGATGCTGAAGGAATGGAAAGTGTGGGCAAGCAGGCTAGCGCAGGCTAACACAGGTGGCACAGTGGCTCAGTGGTTAGCACTGCTGCCTCACAGTGCCAGGGACCCAGGTTCGATTCCACCCTTGGGCGACTGTCTGTGTGGAGTTTGCACATTCTTCCCGTGTCTGTGTGGGTTTCCTCCGGGTGCTCCAATTTCCTCCCACAGTCCAAAGATGTGCAGGCTAGGTGAATTGGCCATGCTAACTTGCCTGTAGTGCCCAGGGATGTGTAGGTTAGGTGGGTTATAGGGGAATGGGTCTGGGTGGGATGCTCCAAGGGACAGTGTGGACTCGTTGGGCTGAAGGGCCTGTTTCCACACTGTAGGGATTCTATTCTATTCTATTTCAGAATCCAGGGAGAAGTAGTGGAGAGAGCATTGTGCTATCAACATACTCAGAGCGCTTGGTGTCATCTCTTCAAATGGCAAGACCAAATGGAAGCATGGAGATGAAGAAGAGGAGGGGGCCAGAGGTAATGGTTGGGAGCAGGGAGTGAGAACATTGTAGTTGTGCCTCTAGGTACAACTGGACAAGAAAGAGTTAACCAGCAGAACGTAGACCATCACTGGAGGACGATGGTGTGGTCAAAGACAACAGACAACTCAAGAACATAAGGAGGAGGAGCAGGAGTAGACCATTCAGCCCCTCAAGTCTGCTTCTATTTAATATGATCGTGGCTGATCTCACCTCAGCCTCAACTCCACATTCCTGTCCCCATAATCTTTCAACTCGTTACAAATTATAAACCTGTCTATTTCCTCCTTACATTTACTTAATACACCAGCATCCACCACACTCTGTGGGGAGTGAATTCCACAGATCCACCACCCTTTGAGAGGTGAGAAGTCACACGACACCAGGTTATAGACCAACAGGTTCATTTGAGAACACAAGCTTTCACAGCCTCTCTCCTTCCTCAGGTGTTAGTCACCTGAAGAAGGAGCAAGGCTTAGAGAGCTTGTGTTTTCAAATGAACCTGTCAGTCTATAACCTGGTGTCATGTGACTTCTGACCTTGTCCATCCCAGTCCAACACCAGCACCTCCACAACATGACCCTTTGAGAGAAGTAATTTCTCCTCATCTCAGTCTTAAATCTGCTGCCCCTTATCCTAAAACTATGACCTCTCGTTGTAGATTGCCCCACATGAGGAAATATCTTCTCTCCATCTACTTTGTCAATCCCTTTAGCATCTTTTGTACCTCAATTTGATCTCCTCTCACATTGTTCTAAATTCACAGAGAATAGGCCTAAACTGCTCAATCCCTCTTCATAAGGCAAACCTCTCACCCCTGGAACAATCGAGTGAATCCCCTCTGAGCTGCCTCCAGTACAGCTACATTCATACTCAGGTAAGTGGACCACCACCTGCCCACAATGCTCCAGGTGCGGTCTCAGTAATTGCTGTGTACTGAAGACTGAGGAGGGACAGTTTATCCCCATTACAAACATATTCAATATCACATGTCTTTGACCAGCTTGTTTCTATACAGGATTAAACGGCAATTAGGGAAAGACACATGAAGGTTTAAAGACTCTGTCCCCATCAAACACTCAGGACCGGGCTAGCATGGGTTTAGATACAGAGTAAAATCTTCCTCTACTCTGTCCCCATCAAACACTCCCAGGAAAGGGACAGCACAGGGTTAAATTCACAGTAAAGCTCACTCTAACTGTTCCCCATCAGTGACTCCCAGGACAGGGACAGCACGAGGTCAGATACAGAGTAAATCTCCCTCAACACTGTCAGCATGAAATACTCCCAGGACAGGGCCAGCTCAGGGTTAGATACAGAGTAAAGCTTCCCCATCGAACACTCCCAGGGACAGGGACAGCACGGGGTTAGATACAGAGTAAAGCTTCCTCTACTCTGTTCCTCATCAAACACTCCCAGGACAGGGCCAGCTCAAGTTTAGATACAGAGTAAAGCCTCCTCTACACTGTCCCCATCAAACACTCCAAGGACAAGGACAGCTCAGGGTTAGATACAGAGTAAAGCCTTGTTTACACTGTTCCCCATCAAACACTCCCAGGACAGGGACAGCATGGGGTCAGATACAGAGTAAAGCTCCCTCTACACTGTCCCCCCCATCAAACACTCCCAGGACAGGGCCAGCTCAGGGTTAGATACAGAGTAAAGCTCCCTCAACATTGTCAGCATGAAACACTCCCAGGACAGGACCAGTTCAGGGTTAGATACAGAGTGAAACCACTTGTAACATTTCCTTAGCTTTGTTGTCTTGTTGTGAAGCTTTCTCTCAAGTGCTCACAGATTAACCTTTGAGCATTTTATATGGAAACTTACCCTGCTTCAACTCATGGCACAGCTTCATCCCATGACCAAAGTCTACCCCAGTGAACATATCTGCAGGCCAATTTGATATGTCTATGTCAAAAATATTCTTGCTTTCAGTGTTTGATGTGTTCCCCAAATTCTCTCAATCCAGGTCAGTTCTGATTTATTTCCAATTGCCTAAAGATGTTACTCAGCTGTTTTTGTTCCTGGACTTGCACATCTACTTGCATCAACACTGGGAGGTCCTGCCTGATGTTTCCATCAGTCCCCACGCACCATGTCAAGCTTCCAACAGTCTCCGAGCCACTCTCCTGGCCTATACTCTACCTTCCTTCAATTCCCTCTCAGCCTGCTCACCATACAGGAGTGTCAATAAATTTGTAACTGTGCCTTTGTGATTACTATACAGCCTTCCTTATTCGTGGTTCTGTCAAATGTATGTGTACTGTTGGAGGTCCCAGCAGAAAGTTTTGAAAGATACGATGTAGTACAATGATTAGTAAACAATAACAGGTAACTGCCATGAGGTTTTGGGCACCTTCAGGTGATTTGAGGCAAAGTTTTTCTCTGAACACTAAAGCTGCAAAACACTTCAAATTCACGTTCCTTAAAGGAGCAGCAAGAACAGAAAATGTGAAAGACACACAAAGGGTTCAACACTAGGAGTTCATTCAAAACTCGGCATCCATGACCAGCTGCTTGTTCACTGTTGGCCAAGCAGCATCATAGGAGCAGGAAGGCTGACGTTTCGGGCCTAGACCCTTCATCAGAAATTCCTGCTCCTATGATGCTGCTTGGCCTGCTGTGTTCATCCAGCTCTACACCTTGTTATCTCAGATTCTCCAGCATCTGCAGTTTCTACTATCTCTGCTTGTTCACTGTTTCCTGTTTCTGCTTCAAAGTCCCACAGCTCTGCCGGTTTCTCTTTCGTTCAGCAGCGTAGACCCTAAACTATACCTCTCTAAAGTTCTTCACAGTGACTCTTTCCTCCCTTATGACACTCCTTACAACCAACCTCTATGACCAAGCATCTGGTCCCCTCATCAAACATTTAGTTATCTGGTTTGGTTTTGTTTGATTACACTCCTGCGATGGCTCTTTGGAAGATGGAGGTGCTATATAAATGCAAGTAGAGGTTATTATCTGCACAATCTTCAGGCAGATGTGCCGAGTGGATGATCCATCTCGGCCTCCTCCAGTGGTTCCCAGCATTACAGATTCCAGTCTTCAGCCAAATCGATTCACTCCACGTGATATCAAGAAACGGCTGGAGGCACTGGATACAACAAAGGCTATGGGGTCTGACAACATTCTGGCAATAGTATTGAACCTTATGCTCCAAAACTTGTCATTCCCTTAGCCAAGATCTTCCAGTACAGTTACAACACTGGCATCTACCTGACAATGTGGAAAATTGCCCAGGTACATCCTGCACACAAAAAGCAGGACAAATCCAACCCGACCAATTACCGCCCCATCAGTCTCCTCTTATCACTAATGTCCTTTAGTGAAGGAAACTGCCATCCTTACCTGGTCTGGTCTACATGTGACTCCAGACCCACAGCAATGTGGTTGACTCTTAACTGCCCTCTGGGCAATTGGGGACGGGCAATAAATGCTGCCTGGCCAGTGATGCCCTCATCCCATGAATGAATAAAGAAAGAACAAAGTCATCAGTAAAGTGATGGAAGGTGTCAGTAACAGTGCTATCAAGCAGCACCTGCTCAGCAATAACCTGCTCAGTGACACCCAGTTTGAGTTCCTCCAGGGCCACTCAGCTCCTGACCTCATTACAGCCTTGGTTCAAACATGGACAAAAGAGCTGAATTCCAGAGGGTGGGGTGAGAGTGACAGCCCTTGATATCAAGGCTGCATTCGACCGAGTGTGGCATCAAAGGAGCCCTAGCAAAACTGGGATCAATGGGTATCACGGACAAACTCTCTACCAGTTGGAGCCATACCTGACACAAAGGAAGATGGTTTTCATGTCAGAGGTCAGTCATCTCAGCTCCAGGACATCTCTGCGGGAGTTCCTCAGGGTAGTGTCCTAGGCCCAACCATCTTCAGCTGCTTCATCAACGACCTTCCCTCCATCATAAGGTCAGAAGTGGGGATGTTCGCCAATGATTGCACAATGTTCAGCACCATTCGTGACTCCTCAGATACTGAAGCAATCCATGTTCACACGCAACAAGATCTGGACAATATCCAGGTTTGGGCTGACAAGTGACAAGTGGCAAGTGACATTCGCGCCACACAAATGCCAGGGAATGACCATCACTAATAAGAGACAATCTAACCACCGCCCCTTGACATTCAATGGTGTTACCATTACTGAATCCCCCACTATCAACATTCTGGGGGTGACTATTGACCAGAAACTCAACTGGACTCATCACATACTGCAGCAAGTAACTCACCTCCTGACTCCCCAAAGCCTGTTTACCATCTACAAGGCACAAGTCAGGAGTGTGATGGGATACTCCCCACTTGCCTGGATGGGGACAGCTCCATCAACATAAGAACATAAGAACTAGGAGCAGGAGTAGGCCGTCTGCTCCTTCGAGCCTGCTCCACAATTCAATAAGATCATGGCTGATCTTTTCGTGGACTCAGATCCACTTACCCGCGTTCTCACCGTATCCCTTCATTCCTTTATTGTTCAAAAAAAATCTACCTTTTTTTTAAAAACGTTTACTGAAGTAGCGTCAACTACTTCACTGGGCAAGGAATTCCATAGATTAACAACCCTTTGGGTGAAGGAATTCCTTCTCAATTCAGTCCTAAATCTGCT